AAAGAATTGCTGTGATTATCTCCGGGAAGAAGAAGTGGTTGCTAATTTTCCCTTTTGTGTTCATGTGCATGTACTACCCAATGTAACAGCTATGATTAATAGACTCAATAGGTCAAAAGGGCTTCTGTTTTCCAGTATAAAAAGGTAGTAAGCCCATAAGGTGATCATTCACTTTCCTGTTCAAGAAGTCCTCTGGATTGAAACTGAAGATTTACATATTTCTGCATAAAATGTAAAATGGTGTTTTCTTTTCTCCAAGAGGTATAGAAGAACTTAAATATCAGACAAGAAAGTTTGATTTTGTGTGTAATGTGATTTTCCAAAGGTTTTGAGTTTTAGGGCTACGTCCAAAACAACACTTTTGCAATAGTTGAGACAGGAGAGATAGAAACAAAGAGCACACACAATAGTTATAAGCTCAAAGAACTATGTAAATGAGCTTGGATCCCTAATAAGCAGCAAATACTTACTGAATTGAATTAGTGTGACAAGCATACCAACATGTACACTTAAATTAATTTTTTAAATAAGAACTAAGATTATTAAAAACCGTAACACTCAGTTGGCAACAGAGCCAACTCTGTAGATGGGAGAGTAAATGGTACTACATGACTGTTCAGGAAAGTAATTGGAAACATGCTTAAAAACATACATAACCTTTAACTCATTAACTTCAACTCTATGTATTGGCAAAAACGTAGAACGATAAACCCCAAATATTAGCCAGCCAACCACATATTATAAGCTTTAAAAGAAGAACTAATGTTCTTCTTTGTGTTTTTTTATAATTTCTCCAAAATTTCTTTACAATGCATATGTGTTAGTTTTCCTCCTTAAAAAAAAAATTGTATTTTAGCATATGTGTATTGTGTCATAGGTAAATATCTGTCAATTACATCAAATGAAATGAGTTGGGGACAGTAATAGGAGAAGATATAGAAAGTACAAAGGAAAAATATCTCATGTAATTATCAGAATACAATGAATACCAGTGCTATTTAGAGACTAGGTGCTATTTGGGGAGAAAATAAAACCTTGAAACTTTATGTCAAGAGGTTAAAAAAACCTATTTTGACTAAATTCATACTGAGTTATCACTGTTTTCCTGCATCCAATTTTTTTTCTTGTATGCTTGGGCTTGGTACCAATATTAACAAAACTATAGGCCAAGGCATGGCATCTCATACCTGCAATCCCAGCTACTCAAGGGCAGACACTGGGAAGATCACAGTTCAAACTCAGTCCAGGCAAAACGTTAGCACCACCTTTCAACAAATAAGCCGGGCATGGTGGTGTGCACCGTGATCCCAGTTATGAGACAGGTGGCTTAGGTAGGAGGATTAAAATTTGAGGTCAACCCCAGGCAGAAACGCTGAGACACCATCCAAAAAATAACTAAAGCCAAAAGGGCTGGGAGCAGGACTCAAGCCGTAGAGCACCTGCCTAGCAAGTCCAAGTTGCTGAGTTCAAATCCCAGTACCACCAAAAAAAAAAGAAATACACTTTTCTGCTTTATGTAAGTACCCATTTCAGTCCTTTTAGTTTTGATAAAATAAGTACAATTTGTCATCAAACAGACGGGTAGACAAATCTAACCATTTTAAAGAATAGTATTCTAAAAGTAGTTTACAGAAACAAAACTATTTTCCCTTGTGATATATTACCTCATACCTTGCCAAATGAAATAATAGCAAAGTACCACAGATTACATATTTTACTAAAACAAAATTATGAACTAATTTTGAAGAAAAAGCAACCAAAATTTCATCTAAATACTAAAATCGGAAGCTTTCATCTAAGGAAATACCTTAGATAAGATAAAGTAAAATTCAGAAAACCTGACCACACTTAAAAGACTGAAGTCTAAAAATGTATTTCATATATAAAAAAATAATAAGGAACACTGGATCATTTCTATTGATATTAAGTCACATCTGTCATATTTGTACCTTAGTTTCCTTATTTGTAAAATGGGGATAGTAATGGTTCCTATTATCACACTTGTAAGCAATACTATGAATACAAAAATAGTCTTGGTGATGTTTCACTTACAATTCTCTAACTTTACAATGGTGTGAAAGCAGTGGAAAGCAAGTTTGGAATTTTGATCTTGTCAAGGGTTAGTGACACACTATGAGATACTTTCTCATAGCACTGGGCAGCAATAGGGAGCCCTAACCACTCCATCGAGAGGATAGAAAACCAGGACTCTACAGGATTCTGTATTGCTAAACGAGGATGCTCAGTAGACTAGGTGTATTAAATGCAAGTTAATTTACAGTATTTTCAACTTACCCTGGGTTTCTGGGGGAGCAATCCCACTGTTAGGTCAAGAAGCATCTGTATAAGTACTTAGAACAATACCTGGTACATAAGAACGAATATCTATCGAGTCTTGAAATGTATAAAGCAGCTTTACTGATGAAAGACAGAATGAATCAAGGATGGCAAGATATGATCTGAGTTCAAGTTACATCATCATCTTACAGGCAGGTAGGGAAAACAAAGGAGACATACAGGGAGGTGAGATGGAGAAAAGCTGACAGAGCTGTTAGACAAGACTTTTCTTGAGATGTAACATTTAAGCAAAGAACTAAAAATTAAAAGTAACCACTGACAAGAACAAAATACTTAAGAGTCTTTCAGGTGGCGAAAACAACTGAAAAGTTAACCTAACTGGAGCCTAGAAAGTATGAAGTTTGAAGACAGGCAAGAGCAGCAGGACCTTGAAAACCATGGTAGGAAGCTGGGATTTCATTTTAAGTCAGTAAGGTTCATGGCATATTTATGGGGAGAAGACGGATTTAATATGTTTTAGAAGTAGAACCAACAGGATTTGGGTTGGGTGTAGAAGAAAAAAAGTAAGTGTAGGTTGATGCCTAGATTTGCTGACTTTGTTTAAACTGATAATGAAGAACAATGAGGCAGGAGGAGATCTGGGAGTATGGCTTAAGTGGTAGTTTGCCTACTTAGCAAGCACAAGGCCCTGAATTCAAAATCCCAGCACTGAACAAAAAAGAGGAAGAAGTCTGTAATTCCATCTTTGAAATGTTCAATTTGACATGTCTATGAGATATCCAAACAGTGATGTCAAATAACAGCTATGTCTGGCAGAAAATGTCAATCTAGGAGTTATCAGAATAAAATATTTAAAGCTATAAGAAAGGATAAAAGTAACTGAGAGTCTTCTACTATACTACAAATAGCAGCAATTAGACTTATATAGGGCCTACTTTGTCCCAGGCACTGTTGTAGTTACTGACACAAATTTCAGTCTATTTTTTTTAATCTTAGAAGAACTCAAATGAGGTAAATAAGATATAAAGAGATATATAGCTTATCTAATGTCATTCAGCTCATTTTAAAACAGTTCAGTTCCACAGCATGTACTTTTATCTATTTTATTTATTTCCAATGTCAAGCAAAGCTAGGAGAAAAGCCAAAACCCCAAACCCTCAAGTTTGAATTTAAAATTGAATGGGGCATTGATAAGCATTTTACAGACAAGTAAATACAGCCTTGGAGTAAAACAATTATAGGAAACGTTGTTAGTTACTGGTGGATGCAGATGAGAATGCATGTTTAATGATTACCAGTATGGTGCTCTTTCTACACCTCCAACCTACCGGTTGCCTTTTTCAACTCTGGAAACTAAGTAATTCAAAAAGTGGTTTTGTGACAGGCACAAATTTAATAATAGGTTCCTAGGTAATGACTTAAACATTTTCCAACTGCATAAATGGTACTTACTTTTACAAGTATAATTCAAGCTTATCCACCAACTACTTTGCTATCTCTAAAGACATCATTTAATCCTGAACACACACCTGAAGCCAGATGAGCCCGTGAAAACTGTCAGGCAGTAGAAAAGATATTACCGCTTTTTCAAACATGCAAGTGACAAAGCATTCCAAAGTTAAGTTCTTGCCTACATCTTTCCAACTCTGTCATGTATAGATATTAAATTCAGCAATAATCACAACTACTCAGTATTAAGTGGTTACTGCAGGTCACCACAGTTTTTTCATTCGATCAAAACAATAATTCTATGATATAAATGCTTCTCATCCCCACTTGTCAGATGAGACAAGAAGGCTTAGAAAAACTAACTTTCTCAAGACAACAGAGCTGGAATATGAAATTAGTTCTGTATTAGTTTAGGTAAATTCAACAAACTCAACCTCATGCTAGATTAAAATTATCAGTTTCCACTTAAACATAATCATCTGAAATTACAATTTTCACATTAAAGATACCTTATTACAAATGTAGGTCTGCACTAATAAAGAGTAACCTAAAAGATGTGAGAGTAATGGATTCTTTTTAAAGAGAGAGGCAGGAAAAATACTATTAAAGCCAAAACATCTCATCATTCTAGATTTGCCTCTTCCCTGTTCAGTTCATTCCCTTATCCAAGAATTCCATACATGTCCTAGTCCGTGAAATGGAACCACGAAATACACTTGACTATTCCCAATGGCAGTCTCTTTGTTATTCCGAATGGACATTACAAAAGAGGTTTCCCCCGCCCCCCAATTTTGCAATTTCAGATAAAGCGCTTAACTACTGGCTCAAAAAGTGACTCAAGTGAATCTCCACTTCAGAAGTTACACATATCAAAAGCCGAGTCAGGAAAGCAATGTAGTCTCCTTTACCCTCCCCTTCCCACAGCCCTAAACTAGGGTCCTAAATTCTACTCTACACCTCTGTCACTGCTTGTCCTCAGTAAGTCTCCTTCGCTCACCTAAACATCTCCGAACAAGACCCTAACTATCTGTCACACAACCCTAAGTCTTTCACCCTTTTCTCAGCCCCCAGTTCTCCCCTCAGAAGACAGAGAAGGCTGTCGTGTCTTTTGAACAAAAAGTGAAGACCAAACAGACGGGTATTAGGGGAACACCTTGAGCCAGTCCCACCAATCCCAGAGGAAGAGCGTCTGGCGGGACCCGGCTGGGAAGTGCGCTCCCCACGTGGGCCTGTGCTCACGGAACTCCACTCACCAAGCCATCTATCTGCACTTGCTTCACGGCCGAATCTCCAGAGCCGCCCTTTCCTTTGCCTTTCCCTACCGCGCCGGTGGTGGAACCCGACGAGGTGGCGGTAGAGCCGGTGCCTTCCTTGCGGGACGCCATCTTTCCAGCCAGACAGGAAAAAAGAGAAGCACGAGTCGCCGGAAGCGGAAGTAGAGCCTTCGTAGCGTTCGCAGTTTGGCATTCGAGGGGCGGTGCCCGGTGGGGCCACGCCTCCCTGGTCTTGCCTCCTTGCCCGGCGGGATGATTTGCGCATGCGCAAAGCGCGTTTTTCGACTCCCTAGCCATCGACATAGGCTCTAAATACGGGATTACTCTCCATTAAACCGAAGTCGATGTTCACATTGTAGCTCGCATTTCTGTAACGTCTTCTACGTGAGAATGCTTTTATTTCTAATTTCATTCATATTCCTGATCTTGAAGGCTATCAAAGGCTGTACTTTCACTAAACATATGAGGAAACTGAGATTTGATTTCCCAACGTCATTCTCTTAATTAGGGACAAACTGGTATTGCGTGGGCTCGTTTTATGCAACTTTAGATTACTAAAATTACATAGTCTCTATTACTCAGATTACATAGAAATTAATTAAAACAGGCAAACTACATCAGAGCTACAAGAATTAATAGCCTTTAGCTATTAGTTTCATAAGATTTACATGGGTAAAATACCAAAGAAGTTATTTTATGTAATATTGAAATGCTAATGCAGAACATATTTCCTACAAATCCTGGTGATTTGGGACATGTAACTCTGAAATATGTATCTCAAGCCTTTAAAGAAGTATGTGACAGCTGTAGGAAGTCATTGTAAATAAGTAATTTAAAACATTTCTTCCAAATGCTTTTTTTTCCTATCCCTTATTTTCTAAATACTCCTTCAATCAATACACATTCTGAAGTGATGAAGTAGTTATACCAATGTAAGGCATATCCTGTCCTAGAGTTTTTTGTTGTTTTTGTTATTGAGGTCTGATGTTGTACTTCAATCTGAGAGCAGAAATTATTAGATTTGGAAAATTAGTAATGTCAAAGTGAAAAGTTAACATTCATTTTTAAGAATATAAGAAATATTTACAAAGTAGACCACAGAGAAAGTCTCTACAAATGCAGAATTATTTGAGGTTGATCATACTATAATTACACTAGAAATCAGTAGTAGAAAGGTAACCAAAAAGGAAAAAGAAGAGGGCTGGTGATCTAGCGCAATGGTTTAGCATTTGCCTTGCACACATGAGGCTCTGGTACCACAAAAAAAAAAAAAAAAAGCAAGCTCCTCACAAAGAATCAGACCAGAGTTTGTGCCTACCACTTGGAATCTGAAATGGTGAGAATCAGAAAACAGACAGGCTATTTATAAAGAATAATATATTCATTAATTGCTTAATCTTACAACTTAAATAACACAGTTTTATTTCCAAATTTCAATACCAGCATTATCACTATCAATAAAACTAATACAGAAAATTTAAATTTTCTTAATTTTTTGTCTTAAAATAACCCGCTAAGTTTTTGCAGTTGTGTCTGCCAAACATGTTATTAAAATGAGTCTTCATCTGTTTAAAGAGAATTTACATGTCCTCTGTATGGAATAGGCTAAATCCCAGACAGATGAAAGAGAGAGACAGAGAGAGACTAAGAAATGGAAATTGAAATTTGATTAGGAAATCAGTATGTTCACCTTTATCCAAAAGAGTCTAGAAGAAATTACCCTTCCCTCATTAGGGTTCCTGCTTTTCTCAGTTGCCATTGCTGGTTTTTCTACCCCTTGACAATCTTTAAATATTGAAAACCAGCACCTTCAATATCTTCTTTCCTTTATTTTTATTCTTTATCATAGTTATCCCATCCATTCTCAGTGACCTAAGCATCATGAATATTCTGATATTCCCAAATTTATATCTTCCAGACTCCTCCACTCATCCACACCTATGTATTCATCTGTCCACTCAAAATGTCTATGTAAATGTCCACTAGGCACCTCCAACTTAACTTTTCCAAAACTGAGGTGCAGTTACCACCACCACCACCACAAAAAATGTTCTTCCTACAGTCTTCCTCATCTAATTTGATGACAGTTCTATTCTTAAGCATTAATAGGGCCAAAAACATTGGCATCATCTTTAGCTCTTCTGTTTTCTTTATGCCTCATCCTTGTTTCATCAGAAAATCCTATAGGCTCCATCTCAAAAATGTATTTGGAATCCAGATTTCTGCTTCTAGGAAGATGGAATAGATACACTTTAGCAATTCCTCCCCATAAATTCAACTAATCCCATGGACATTATATACAAATCAACTATAATGACAATAAAAGATGGAGAGAAGAAAGAAGACTGGCTAGAAACCTTTGTACCCAAGCAGCAACACTGCAGTTATTTCCCAGGGTATCTATTTGACACATATATCCTAGAATTGGCTGACTAGGAGCCCAGACAAACAAAAGCCTTCCTGCTTTCTGCAAACTGTCAGTGGACACCATGTAGGAAGCTTAGATTTATGCCTTCCCCAGACAGTGATCAGGTACCTATGTTACTACCCAAAGGAATGATAGCAGAGGAGGCCTATAGAGAGTTCAGATTTCACCACAGCCAGGAGGTAATGAGGTCACCCATCCAGCACTGTCAGTAGAAGTAACATGGAGAACAGTCATGAGACCTTCCTACTTCTTCCATATAAGTGGTATAGTGGCGCCCTAGTGGGTGCTGCATTCCTATCTCCCTACTGGTAATGAGGAACCACCCCCACCCCAATGGAGTCAGTATCATGTAGTGTTATGCTACTCTTTGCAAAGAGTAATAAGGAGGATTCCATCTGCTCCCCATTCATTGCCAGAGCTTTGTCAGAGGAAGCCAGCTAAAGTAGGACTTAGTAAGGCCCAGAGTTCAGTTACAAAATGCCCAAATGTCTATGTTTCAATAAAAGATAACTTATCTTCTGATCAAAAACTAGGAAAATCTTACACTGAATAAAAAAGACAATTAATAGATGACAATACTGAGCTGACAGAAGTTAGAATTATGTAACAAGATTTTAAGGCATCCATAATAAAATGTTTCAATGAACAATTATAAACACACTTGAAACAAACAAACAAAAACAGCCCAGCAAACAAATTCAAAGTCTTAGCCAAAATACAGGAAATATAAGTCAGAATAAAATGGGAATTGAGAATTTTAAAAAATACAACAAAAACCAAAAATTCAATGTTCACAGCAAAATGGAAAAGAAGTGGAAAAATAAATGCATGAGCTGAATATAAAATGATAGAACAGTATCCACAACAGATTAACAGAATGTCAAATGGTGCAGCCGTTGTGGAAAATAATATTGCAGTTCCTCAAAAACTAAACATAGAATTATGAAATCATCAAACAATTTCATTTTCAGGTATGTATATCCCAAAGAATGGAAAGCAGGAACTCAAACAGATATCTGAACACCGATGTTCACAGTAGCATTATTCATAATGGCCAAAAGGTAGAAATAAATGTCCATCAGTGAGTGAATGTAAAAACCAAACGTAATGTATCTAGATATATATATGGAATATTATTCAGACTTAAATAAGAATTAAATTTTAATAATATTGTAACATATATGATTCTTTAAAATATTATGCTAAATAAAAAATCCAGGTACAAAGGAATAAATATGGTTTGACTCACTTTAGAGATCTCTAGAATAGTCAAATTCATCAAAAATAAAGTTAAATAGTTGTTGAATATGGAAATATAAAATTTCAAAATTTATGAGTTATAGCTACATTAGTACTGAGAAGAAGTTTATAGCAAAGTGCCTATGGTAGAAAACAAAAAATATCTCAAATCAAAAATCTAAATTCTTTTTTAAGATCCTAGGGAAAAAAGAGCAAAATAAACTTAAAACATGCATATGAAAGGAAATAATTCAGAGTACACAATATACTCAATATTTTCAATCTCCTAAATAAGGTTGGTCACAATCATTAAGTTACATTTCTTCCCTCTCCCCAAAAAGCAGTTTGCTATCATAGGCATCAAGTTTTTTGGAGAGATCATTTATTGGATAAAATAAATTCTGCCTGTATTCTCAACAATATGTTCTTTATTCTCTCTGTCATATGAACTACAGTTTTTAGCATAATTCCATATTTTATAGAAAGATTTCAAATTTCCTTAAGGGAGAGAGAGAGAAATAAAGGGAGAGTGAGAGAAAGAAAAAGGGAGAAGAGGAGAGAAAGAGAGAGAATGAATTATGAAAACATTCCAAACCAAACTGGCGGCCCTGCCCATGGGTGATTCTATCATGGAGACAGGAAGCAGAGGATAGCCTGCCATACCTGAGTAAAAAAGTAAAAAAATAAACAGTATGAATAGTTTTGCTTGTGTGGCATAACACCCTACCACTAGGAAAACAGTCCAGTGACTGCCAGGCTGTGACCAGTCTATGCTTTATTAGAGCTTCTTTCCCTCATTTGGCTAAGACTTAAACTTCTTTAAGCCAATAAAATGAAAGAATCAAGTCAGCAAAGATGAACCAAATAATTTTCTTCAAATGCTACTTTATTGTTATTCCATACAGAGATGAGCCAAAAGATTTTTTTTAATGTAAATTTATTCTTATTTAATTGTTGCCTGCTTTCAGACCTCTATGGAAGGCAAGGACCCATGAACATCTGGGGTCTGAGCTAAGCACTGCATTCAGTAATGGACAGAAAGGCATGCAGCATTTCTGTTTAGGGCTCCCAGCCAACATCTATATCACCAATTTACCATCTGTTTCTATCTTGGTATAAAGGAACTAGATGGAGAGTAATATGACCGCTCTATTTCCAGCTCCTCCCAAAAGCCACTACACATTCATGGCATACAACTGAGGCAAGGGGTCATCTCTAGTACCTATTAGAGACAAAGGAAGTAAACAAATGCTATTTTCAAATGAAGTATTTAACAAAAGCTTGTATAAGGGTTGCATATTCTTAGCTCTTCTGTAAAGATTATCTTCTGGAAAAAGGGCATAAAGATCTTTCTTTTTATTGTCTTTTTTAGGGGGAGACTGAAAAAGAAAAGTAATAGTAAGTTATTTTCATTTGTTCCCTTAAATAGAGTAAATTTCTATGTGTTGGCTATGGCGTCTCCCAAAAGAGCAGTAAGCCTCTC